TGTAATATATTATATACTAATTACCTATCATATGTAATATAATATATCATAATATGTACATGATATATATTTATATATAAGGTGGGAGGATAAAAATATTTTTACGTGGCTCATCCAGGTAATTGGGACAGAAGACTGCTCAAGGATTTTATCATTCTGTTTGCTACAATTCTCTTTTCTTCATGAGTGGCCCTGCAATCTTCATAGTAATACAAGAAGCTGTGAAAATATTTCAATTTTTTTCTGTTTACAGATTGAACTGTACTCATCAATCATATCAAATATCTAATACAAAAATTTCTCCAGTTAAAGATTTCTCTTTAGATTCAGACAAATATCAATGACAATATTGTGTTGACTTAGCTGTTCCTAGCCTCGCACTATTTATACTACATATTAGCCCCCTTTACTTGGGTTTAATTCTCCCCTCACCTTACATATCTATGAGTCTTACCTGTGTACTTTTCTAGTATTGCTTAGTACCTCCAGAAAGCATGTAGAAAATACTGATGTTTTATTTGATACCAGCCTTTCAAAGATGTAAATTTTTAATAGACTGGAAGAAAACTACTGAAAGGAAGGCTATAAATTTAAGTGGAAATGACATTTTATATGTGAGAAACAGAAAATTGTCTCTTTGAATTTTATTTACAACACCACAAAATTTACTGTGCCCTCGCTGGCCACATAACAAGTACCAGCTGGAGCCCAGTGAGTGTCTGTGTGAGCAGAATGGAATGGCCAGTAGGATTGGAGAACATAGCTGGGAAGCTACTTTCCTTTGAATAAGCAGGGTTGGCTTCCTCAGAGTGCAGTCATCACATGACATGGGGCATGTTTTTCATCAAATGAAAAGCTTGTTTGTTCCTGAGCACAGTGACCAGGCCTATTGGGAATGCTCTCTCAGGGTCTCACCTGAGACATGTGATTTCCTGTCAGGATTCCTACCTCAGACAGCTTTACCTTTCATGGACATTATGTTGTGACTGCTATACAGGGAGCAACCAACTTATGAAAACCCTGTTATTGTAGTAATGCTGGTTGAATTGATATTTTTTAAAAACGAATCATAGAGATAGTGCAACTAGAACTAAAATTATTTTCATAAAACCAAATAACCCAGATAGGTGGATTTCTGGTTTTAAAAATCTTTACTTGAAGTTGATGACCATGGTTTTCTTTTATAATTAGAGGGGAAAGACCTTGATCTATCTATTCATCCATTTTTCAATCATCTATCTCAATATCTGTGTATGTCTATATCTATCTATCTATCATCTACTGACAGATATGTAAACAGTAACAACACAAATAAATGGCTAGTTGATAAGCTGAAAGAACTAAAATTCCTTGGTACATGCATTGACTTCATTCTCTTTGAATTTCTGAGTTTTTAAAAACTTCTTATTGATTTGCACCTATTCTCAGAAATTTCAACAATTTAGCAACCTCAAAAAAACCCTCTACCCTCTCTTGGCTGGATCTTAAACTATTGGATTTCAAATGCTCTATCTGTTTCAGAAGCATTATTTTATCTTTATATTAGGACAAGTTTTCAGTGCATAATGTTTCCGTTCTTTGTGGGTAGTTGTACAAGCACAGAACACATCTTTATTCCTTTTCCCACCCCTTCCCTTCCTTTCCCTTTACCTCTTCATCCCTTTCCCCTTTAAGAAAGATCCATCTCCCTACTTCCTATTTTCTATCTTTTATTTTTCTCTTTATTTATGTAGTTTCAGGAACATATTTTAGTCATGATAATTGTTCTTACTCATAATCTTGCTAATGGATTATGTGTTATTGGTAATTAACTAAACCTTCCCTTTCCTTTACTTCCAGGATCTGGCTTAATTTCAATGATATGTGGCGGCCAGACTTTAGCATACTGTTTGTTCAAGGGCAACTTTATCTACCCAGATCTGGATAATTTTTGACAATACAGATAGGTTAGTTTGCCCCAGAATTTCTATGCTATTACTTATACTGTGTGAGAGCTTAATTTTGCTTTTTGTTCATGTTCAAGGTTGAATTTTTTCAGTACATTTTAAAACAATAAGAAGAGAAGTTAACAGAGAGCAAATCAACCTTAGTCAGAATTCACACATAAAATGTTGCAAACTCATAAACACAGTGTTTCCCAAAGTATACCCTTTAGAACAATTGTTCTGAATAATGTTAAAAACAGTTTC